CATTCACTAGCATTGAAACACAGGCAGAGGACAGGCTCAGTGGCTCAGCTTGTAATCTCAGCACTTTGGGATGCCGACCCGGATGGATTGCCTGAGCCTGAGGGTTCAAGACCAGTCTGGGCAACCTGGCAAGACCTCGTTTCTGTAATAATAAAAAAAGAAAAGAAACACAGACAGTGGCTGTTCCAAAGGTAGCAAGTCATCTCAATTGATTGTTCACTGTCAGTTACAGATTTAACTCTTTGTTACACTCTTACCCCTTTCTCACTACTGCACTTGACTACACACACACACACACACACACACAGTCAACTGAAGAGTCCTTATATTTTTGCATTACTCATTATAACAACTTTAAGATTGTGTTTGTCTCAATCTTTTTTAGATGATAAAACTAGTTTAGAGAAGTAAGATAAGTTAAAATGGATCCAAGACCTAAATGTAAAACCCTCAGAAGAATACATAGGTGTGTAAGTCTTCATGACCTTTGTTTCTTAGATATGACACAAGAGCATAGCAACCAAAGGAAAAACAAATTGGACTTTATTAACATTAAAAACTTTTGTACATCAAAGGACAGTATCAAGAAGGTAAAAAGACAGATGTGATGCCTCAGGCCTGTAATCATAGTACTTTGCAAGGCCAAGGGAGAGGATTGCTTGAGCCCCAAAGTTCAAGACCAGTCTGGGCAGCATAGCAAGACCCTGTTTCTACCAAAAAATGTAAAATTTACCCCGGCATGGTGGCATATACCTGTGGTCCTGGCTATTTGAGAAGCTAAGGTGGCAGAATGGCTTGAGCCCAGGACTTTGAGGCAGCGGTGATCCATTATCATGCCACCACACTCCAGCCTAGGTAACAGAGTGAGCCTCTGTCTCAAAATAAAAGTTAAAAAAAGTAAAAAGACAATTCATAAAAGAATTTATTGTCAAAAATGCATAAAGAACTCCTACAGCTGAGCAATAAAAATACAATTCAAGCCAGGGGCAGTGGCTCATGCCTGTAATCACAGAATTTTGGGAGGGGTTTGAGACCAGCCTGGGCAACTTGGCAAAACCTCATCTCTATAATAAATTTAAAAAATAGCCAGATGTGGTGGCGTGTTCCTGTAGTTCCAGTTACTTGGAAGGCTGAGGTAGAAGGACCACCTGAGTCCAGGCTGCGGTAGCCATGAGCGTGCCACTGCACTGTAGCCTGGGCAGCAGAATAAGACTCTAACTCAAAAAAAAAAGGACAATTCAATTAAAGCAGCCAGGCATGGTGGTTCATGCCTGTAATACCAGCATTTTGGGATGTTGAGACAGGATCACTTGAGACCTTTTTTTTTTTTTTTTTTTTTTG